CTATTTTTAACATCGCGTAAACATGGCGTCGATACCCATTTCAAGGAAAATAAAATCTTGGATTAAGCCAACAACTGGACTACACAAGGTGTATTTGACAGTAACAACAAGAGAGAGATGAAGATCACTCAAAAGTTGTGGGCAACTAAAAAATATGGAATATACACCATCCGAATCAGTATCGCTACGACCATTTTATAGCTATAGAAATAATAGTAGTAAAGCTAATCATCACAAATAATATATAAGTGCGAAAAATTATTATGCAACAGAAGTGTTGTACGCATAGAAGCCAGCGAATGAGCGAACGAAATAGAGGAAATATCCGAAAGTTATTGAGGTTATAATGCGAAATAAAACTTGCTAATCCAAAAAAAATGGTAATAAGGTAAAAAGCTATTCGCTCGCATATAGTGAGAAAAAAAACGTCTATTCTCTTTTCATTTCGTTATGCCCACCGTCGTGAAGTGAGATACAACAGCTTCCAATTCCATTTGGTGTCTTTTTCTTCAATACAAATACGTTAAGGTCAACATCTCCGAAATAAAGCTTTCCTTCGAACAATAGGGGCAGCGCATTGACATCATAACTTCCGGCGCACAGCTTCGTCGCGGGATACTGATACGCATAACCTCTTTGTGAGAAAGGACGTGCCCACACGCGAGCAAATCCGGTGGATTCAACCACCTCAAGCGTGAAAGCAAGAGCGGATCACACAGATTTCGCGTCAGCAGTTTTGCGACGAAAAGAGACGAGGAAGGGTCGCCGTTAAATGCACCCCCACCCCTTCGAGAGGCACCACGTTGAGGTGGAAAAGAGCCAGTCAGGTCGCCGCCGTGGGGCCTACGTGAAGGGGCGAGTTCGGAGGACCGGCCCCTGCCCATGGCGGGAGGGTGAAAAGGCGACCAAGCGCGGATTGCCTCGGCGTAAACCGGCGGTCGCGGGTCCTCGTTGGGGGGAGCGCGCCGCAGCGCTGCGGCAAGGACGTGGTAGCCCTCAGCGAGGCCCCATCGCGGGCGTCCTTGGCCTCGCACGCCCTCACCCATCCCCCGCGTCGACCTGCGAAGGTCCTGCTCGAGGAGGGCGCCCGAGACCAGTGGGTCCACGCA